TCAGTCAGTCAGTCAGTCAATCAGTCAGTCAGTCAGTCATCACGCGGGTGTTTCAGCTGCAGATTTCAAATAAAACAGAGATCATCACTTACATCATCCCTACTCCAACCTAAGAGTTTTCACCTCCCCATGTTTCCATCAGGGCTAAGGATGATGTGTGTGTGTGTGTGTGTGTGAGACTGTGTGCTGCTTGTTCGCACTTGTGTGTTCCTGTGCCTCCACATTTAGCTCACTTCATTGCCCACAGAGAGAACTAATTAAAAAGTGACACCTCTCTGAGTTGTGTCAAAAGAGGCTACAAGTGTTAAATCCACTTCTGTGAGTGAAAAGTGTGTGTAAAAGTGTGTGTGTGTTTGTTTGTTCTGGTAAAGATGTGCTTTTTCTACAGTTTCAGAAACTACGGTTGTGGAGTCCGTTTATACCGAGGATCAATATTTTAAACCAGATTATAACATTTTAATAGTGGAACGTGTCCAGACAACTAACGAACTGGAAATGTTGCTGCGTAGAGTTGATGGGTCTCCGTCATATCTCGGTGATGCCTGTGGAACAGGTTGAAAGTTTCTTTGGGAACTCAGTCCTGTACTCACTGAGACTGGTCTGGATCCATTGATTGATGTTCTCTCCAGACATTTTTACCAATATCAAACCCATACTCCAATTGTGAGTATCAAAACCAACTAGCTAAAATTAGTTAAAATTAGAACTACGATTATACTCAACGAAGAGTATCAAAACCAACTAGCTAAAATTAAGAAATTAAAATTAGAACTACGATTATACAAAACGAGGGCGTTATTTTGACAGCCCTCGTCCAAACCTGTCAGTCTTTCTTCACACTGGTCCCGTCAGTGATTTAAGAACTGGACAAAGACTGATGTTTGTTACCGCCGGGAGTCGAACCGGGGATCTTCTTTATAGCAACTTGGAAAGTGAGCGTCTGTGTTTTGCTGACTCAGTTACACACACATACAGTAGAGCACATACAGTACATCACAGCCCGGCCTTCTTCAAGATCCTCTGCAAATCTCCGGGATGTTCGTTTCTCCTCCTCCAATCCCTGCGTCTTACAGTGAGGATGTGAAGCCTGAGTGACTGCAGATCAACTCAGTGAAGCCACTGCAGTCTGCTGGTCACCTGGGAAACATCTGCCTAATGCCTGAAAGGAGCGGCTGTTGTGTGAAAGTCAGATGCCTTTTTATTTCTTCCTTTTTTTTCTTCTTTTCTTGATCTGAGGCTTTTCTCTCATCCCTCTTCTCCAAAGTTCAGGATTTCTGACAGATCTCCACTCCCAGGCCGTCGGAGCCACACTTGAATCTGAGGAGTGTGTGTGTGTGACGTGTGTGTGGCTATGACCGCGTGTGTGTGTCCCCGATGAATCAAACGGCTCAGAAGCCGCTGTGAGTGCTGCTGAAGACACTCTGACCCCTGAAGTAGAGTCTTTCAGGCACTTTTCTTGGCGTCTTTGTCGCAGTTTCTGTTGGGAAAAGATCACGTTCTTTTGAAGTGCTGATATTTATCAGAATCTGCAGCAATTTCTGCACAAACGTGAAACGGAGAAACAGATGGGGTTGATAGTGGAGAGCAGAAGCACTTCTGTTCTGTTTTGGTGCAGTAAAGAGGAGACAAAGAATCTGAGTAGAGAGAGAGAGAGAGAGAGAGAGAGAGGCTTCACATTGGCTTTTAACAACATTACTGTGGCCCATGGTGGTGTATATAATTTAGTACAATGATGCAATGGTAGATTCTGCAGCGGATCAGAGAGAGCGACCCTCCCTGTGTTTCCAACACACAATCCCTGACTTTCCTCCCTGACTGTCACACACGACACAGATCTAATCACATGTACAGAATGGTTAGGGTTCACGTTTGTATCTTCTCAGTGTGAATCTGTAAGAATTAGTCCTGATTTATTTTTAGTTTTTTCTGCATTAATAAATATAAAACTGTGTCTCCAGAGGGAGAAAACAACCTCGTACGAAAATTAGCTTCAACGTTCTGGATGAGCTTCCACACCTACAGTATTAACAACACCAGGATGAGAAGATTAAAAAAACAAGAGCACACAAAACGGAAGAAAAACATCTTACAAATTTCATCTAAATTCCCTAAATTTCCCAAAGGAAACTCCTGAGGGATTTAATGAAGCCTGTCTGTCTGTCTGTCTATCTGTCTGTCTGTCTGTCTGTCTGTCTGTCTGTCTGTCTATGGGCTGAAAGGCCATGCAGATATAGCTTGGATTTTTAGAAATATAAAAACCATGTTGCTCCAAAATGAGCCAAAGTTTAGCCAGATGATAAAGATCAGATGAGAGAAATATTTGGTTAAAATCGGAACAAAAAAAAAAAGAATTAAAGGCTAATTAAATAACAAGCAATATAGATCTGTAGGTAGCTAACGTAGCCGTTAGCCATGTTAAGAGTAAAGTACCATAACTATTATTACGTAAAATAATGAATTCAAAATCCACTGCAAACTTACAATTGAGACAAAAATATTGTAAATTAAATAATGAAAAACATTTGAGCTTGCAAAATAGCTAAAGTGAGTCAGAAATAGCTAGAGTGGAGAGGAAGGGACAGGAATAACGCTAGCTAGCCCAAGAATAGCTCAATGTTGTCCAAGAATGTTGCTAAAGGAGCTAAACATTACCTTAAAGGAAGCATAGCAATCTAGGCTAAACATTGCTAAAAGTTAGACGAAAAAATACTTATGGACAAAAATATTAAAACAGCTTTTTTCGACTTTTCAAGGAGAACTAAAAAGTGTGAAACATAACTGTGAGTTAGCCAAGAGTTGGAAACGTGTCGTTGAATTTTAAACAGGCCTAACTGGATTAGCGGTGAGACAAATATTGTCTTAAATCTAATCTAAGATCCGGTTTAAATAACCTCTATTCCAGATGTGTTTTATTTTTTCCACATTATTACGATGTGTGTCCACAGTGGGGCAGCAGAGCAGCCAACGCTTAGCGAAAAATTATCTTCAGCTCCGGCTCAACATCTGCTGTTATGACAACGCAACAAGAGCCAGAACATTTAATAACATTTCATTAGCGGAGGAAAAGTTGAAGTCAGTGATAATTACTGCCTGCAGATACACAGATACTGCTGCACTGGTACCACAGTAATGAGAGAGAAAGCGCAGTTTTCTAATGAATATTAATGCAGATAATTAAGTTCTGCTGACAACTATCAGGACACTGCACTTCATTACTGTGAACAGCAGATAAACACGGTCGTCACACGGGGTAATTATGGGATTTAAGCTAATAAATGGAATTAACCTCATAAGTGACGACGTTAAGGTCAGGATTCTCCAGTCTGTGTACCCCGTGAGTACATGTAGATACTCCACTATCATAATCATAGTCCAGTGTCATCATGTTATCATAACATAACAATTTCTAAATACTTTCCAAAAATGTAGAAAATAAAAAAATGAAATCACAACCTATTGTAAATTTTTAGGCGTTGAATGTAAAAGCAAATAATGTGTTTAGTTTTTATATTCTAATTAATAATCTAGAAAATTTTTTTATATTCTAATTAATAATCTAGAATATTTGGACTGATCACATTGTAACTTTTCATTCAGTATAATTAATTAGTAATTTATTTTAATATTATTATTTATTTTCTCTATAGTAAAAACAAAGTAAAACATTTTTTAAAAACTATATTTTTCTAAGTAAAACATGTTTTAAAAACTCTATAATTTTCAACACATTGCGACGGTCATTTGATATATTCTGGTAAAGATGTTGAGCCTCATATGTTTGAATGTTAAATTCTATTCTCTTTCTGCTCACATGGGTCCAATTTAGGTTCCAAGCTTCTGTTTGCTGCAGCACAGAGAGCGTCCACTGAAAACAAACACTGCTGCTGCCGCTCAGTGTGAATACACAATGACGTGAACTCCTTTGTTAGTATGCAAACGCAACTGCACGTATGCATGTAACATACAGGCCATATGGCTGCAGTGGTCACGCTGAGCGCAGATGCGTTCAGTATGAATACCAATCCCTACACTTTACATCCTCACAGCAGACCAGCAATAATTGAGATTTTACACTATTTTTTACGCCTAATTTAATGCCTGTCTCTGTGCTGCCGATGCCAAGGTTGTATGAATGTTTAATATCTACCAATTTACGCAGCTTATAGCTTGTTGAAATTCCATTTATCAAGTGGTTTCTACAGCTTCGACGTAACATTGTTTCTTTTGGTAACAGTTCCTTTCTTTGGCCAGCAGGAGTCCCAGTGAGAGCAGAGTCTCCACAGACGGTCATGGTTTCCTCCATCCTCCTCCCTCTCCTCCACACATGCCACTGTCTTCTAATGTAGGTGTCACCTGACTGGAGTGTGAATTTTTGTTTTTCAAAAAATCAAAGTCTATGAATTAAATAAATGTAATATTTTAAATTAAATTTCAAATTATTTTCACCACATATTTGAGGACATTAAGCTGTTTTTGCTCATGTTTGGACCAATATGTCTTAAAATCTAATGCAGAATTTGTTTTCGGTAAAAACAAATCCTGAAGACTAAGGTTATAAACTAATGAGCACATCAAGCTCTTCAATTGTCTCTTAGGAAATGAAGTCAAGTTTTTCTCTTCACTACATGAAGTCATGTGTGTCTGTTAGACTTGAGTCAGCCTGGACTCACAGCTGTTTGTTAACTGTCCAGTTTCAGCTGCTTTCATCATCTGCAGTTACATCACAGTGTTACATGAACATCCTAATTCAGTCCACATCAGTTGTTTTTGCTCTTTTTTACTGTCGTACAGTAAAACTTCATTTATTTAGACACATTTATGAACCGCAGTTCTCTTAGTTTTTACTCTTCCTCTATTCCTGTCTCACCTTTTTTGTCTTCTCTCCGTCCCCGTGTCACGCTGCAGGGTTTGATGGAGATCTGGTCGAATGTCAGCGGGAATAATCGTCATAACTGGTGGAATTCTCGCTGGAGTGATACTGCTGTGCATCGTAGCAGTTCTCTGTTACTGTCGACTCCAGGTATCGTCACACCTGTTTCTGCTGCATGTAAATTAATGACATTTGGCAACTATCCTGACACTTGGTTATTATCAACAACAAAAAAAACAATTTTTGGGAAAAATGTTTTTGTCTAGTTTTTCTTGCCACATCTATTATCAACAACAAAAAAAACAATTTTGGGGAAAAATGTTTTTGTCTGATTTTCTAGTTTTTCTTGCCACATCTTTTTTTTATTTATAGCTGCTATTTTTTTTGACTTATTACATTTTTTTTTCTTTTACTTCAATTATTAAGTTTATTGTTAAACTTTTGTCATTGAAAAATTATGCTAAAAATCTATGACACTTCTTTTTCAAAATTGTATCTTTAAAAATTTGGTCTGTATGTTTCTCATCAAATTAAAACATTTTAAGAATTTTTTTAGAATTTTTTTGGTAAAATCCTAACATGGCATGTCATTTTTGGTCCAGTGTTGAAAAATTATGATGACATTTTTTTGCAAAATGTTTTTTTTTTCAATTCTATTTGTGTCTGCATTTTTCTCATCAAATTTTCAATCATTTTGATAATTATTTTAGAAACTTTTTTTATGTAATTTTTCTCATGTTGGTCAGAATGTGAAAAATTGTCATGAAAATTAAAAAAAAAAATCTGTTATCTTTTCTGCATGTTTCTCATCAAATTAGAGCATTTTCAGGTTGTTTTTTTTTTTCATATTTTTTCCTGAGTTTTTCAGCTTTGATGTTGACAAACATTTCTGCCACATTCATCTGTTTGATTTTTTAGTTGTAAAAATCTGTTTGATCAATTATTACATTTTTTCATTTTTACTTATACGTATAGTTACTGTTTTTTAACTATTATTGTGGTAATTTCTTCTAACCTTCTAAGATGTTTTATTTTTAACATTCATTTCTTATTCATTACTGCTGTAAGAAAAATGACTCTGAGCAGGATGTGGTCTCCGGGCTGGGACCAGACCCCCTCTCTCACTTCCCCTGTGAGGCGTGCAACGCTCTGGCCATGGACGGCGCCACCATCTCTCCCGTCTCGCTGGACCAGCTGGGTTCTAGTCACGACCGCTGCCCCACCTGTTCGCCGTACCCGCTCCGTTCTGGGCTCTCTCTGGACGACGTGTGTAATGGCGGGGAGCGGCTGGGCTTCCACACCTACTACGAGAATCCGTCTGCAAACACACGGAACTCCTCCCCTCTGAGTTTTTACAGCCCCAGTGACATGATGGCGTCCCTGCCCCGACCTTACAGCACCCAGGTCTGAGCCCCGGTGCAGAACAGCACAGAGGAGACTTTGCTGAACACACACTTGTCAACACATATTCCTGTGGCACTGGTTCGTGGTGATGAATGACAACAAAGCACAATAACACGCCCACGCCACTGCAGCACAAAGCTCACTTCAGATTCGTCATCGCTCATCGAACGCGTGTGTGTGGGTGATGAGTCTGTGACCCTGAGAGACAGAAGCTCAGACGGTGAAAATATTATCAATACTTCAGTTCCACAGGTCTCTGCAGACAGAACCACATCTGAATTCCGGCGTGAAAACACATGCACTGGTGTCAACGTTCCAGCCTGAAATAAAGGTGTTGAGAGGCTGGGCTGTTGTGGGGTGTGAACAGAACACTCCCATGACCTGCAGAGAGAACTGACGTAAACGTCTCTAGAAACTAGAGTTAGAATCACACTATGAAATCAAAGTTCTTGATTTTCCTCTTTGGTTTTGAAGTTGGTTTTAACAGTGCAGTGATTTGGACCAAATAATAATAATTTGGTGAATTTTTCTATAGTTTTTAACAATGTCTTGGAAAATATTTTAAGATGCATGTACTGTCAAAAGACTCAGTCTGAATTATGAAAATTATGGGATACATATTTGGAATACACAGTTTTAAAAAGGGGGGAGATGTTTAACCAGAAAATATGGTGTGGTGAAAATTGTAAAAATTTTAAATTAAAAACCGTTTGGTGACCTCAAGTTTAAAATACAAGTATATATAGATGTACTTCATTGACCCCAGGCTGGGACATTAGAACATACATAAAGGGCATAAAAAAAAAAACTGTCAAAATTACATAAAATCTGGGGATTACATTTGTCTAATGGTATGTTCGTTTTCTTTTTCTTTTCTTCGAGAGATACTGGAATTTAAAAATGTGGGAACTTCCCTGATTTCCTGGAGGTTTTGGTCTGACACGATGAAATACTGAAAGTGAAATTCAGAGGGTTTTTTTTTTACCTTGGATATTCCTTTTCCTGTTTCCCTCTTAAGAATGCTGATCTCAACAACAAAAATCAGTGACCAAATCTCCCCTCCCCCCCCCCTGTCTTCTTTCCACAGTCAGATTATTATAAAAAAAACAATCACAATTGAAACAACAAAAAGAGTCCTTTTACATCAAGGGAAAAGTCTGATTTAGACATACAATAGTTTGTCTTTGTTTGTTGTCATTTTAAAAAGCTGGTATATGTTTTTGAGGTTCTTAACATTATCTGTGGTAAATGACTACAAATGCACCGTTACTGTAAGGCATCTCACTCATTCCACAGAAATGAGTATTGAGTATGAAGTAAAAGAGTATTGCTGGTTTTTGCCCAGTGTCTCAGGATTTTTAGCTTCATTCTGAGAATAGGCATTACCCCGGAGGTGAGTTATGTTAAGAAGCTGAATTATAAACATGTTATCTGTAATAACGAATATAATCTTACCTGATTATGTTGGCAACGAGCTGTGAAAATATCCTGTTTCCTCATTTTCTTCCCCCTGAGGAAACAAACCTGTAATTCTTGATTTTACCTAAGAATATTTATATTATCATGGTGACTTCCTGTTTCTGTGTTTGTTTGTCAGCACAAAACACATACATGTGAACAGAAACACAAATGTATTTGTGTGTGTATACACACACACAAATATATTTGTATATTTGTATGTATATATGCTCATAAATGAATGTGAGCATATATACACAAATATATATATATTCAAATATATTTACATATATGTGTATATATATATATATAAGCACATACAGTATATACAATTATATATATAAATATATGTATATATACAGTATTTACATTATGTAGATGAAGATATAGATATACTGTATGTGTGCATATATATATACACATATACTGTATCTATATGTATTTTTATCTTATACAAATGTGTGTATGTATGTGTGTATTTATACATGTTTGTTTGTATGGCGTTAAAAGAAAGTCATATATAATCGGAATTCTCTATTTTCGGGGCTGATTTTCTTGAAATCAAAGTAAAAATTCAAAAATTTTAATTGTTGAGACATTTGATATATTTTAATTTGAACAATGAAGCAAATCCTGCAAGAAAATTACATTTTAATCATATTCTAAAGATTTTTAATTATGAGGCCATGATTTCTGTTCAGTAGTTTTAAAATTGTCTTGATAGTAATGAAAGCAAAGAACAAAAAATCCAGTGTGTCACAAATTGTTCCTTTTTATGAAGGAAAATAAATGTTTGTACATGTTTTCACCGACTGGACTTTTTTTAGCAGGGGATGAACCAGTCACATGATGGAATCTTTAGTTTCTGTTTCTTGGTTAAAAAAACAAAAACTAAAGTGCTTGAAATAACTATTTATGAGACAGAGACGGAACTGAGGACGAAAAGAGAAGTGTGTGAGTTCATAGAAGAGGAAGTGAAAACCTAAGAAGAAAAAGAAACTTCTTAGTGTCATCCTGACGTACTGACATTGTGTCTAATGTTGGACCCACGGGCCAATTGTGTCACATTATTTGGTTTAGTGTGGCCTGATTTATTTTTTCTGAAATTTCTCTTTAATATGTTAAACAATCACTACCTTTTAGGATTCTCTCAGTTAACTTTTAACCTAAAATTGGTGATGGTAATAAGATTACCAAAACTAGTGATTTCCATAACAAATTGCTAAAGTTTAAGAATATTCTGTTATTTTTCCTTAAATTTAAAACGTCAAGTAACATCTTTTGTCAGATTCGTTTTTTTTGTTTTTGTTTTTTTGTTTTGTTTTTGCTGTGTCTGTTGTGGTATTTTTAGCTCTTGTCTTTTTCTAAGAAATCTCTGAACAAAGTTATAATAACTGTAATTTTTACTTATTCATAAATATTTTGGGGTGATTTCTGGTAACTCTTATCTCTCATTATATATTATATTATGTTCAGCTATTCTGGCAATTGATGATTTTTGGTCTCTTTACAATTTTTATTTGGTGTTTTATTTTATATATACATGGTAGGAGCAGCTGTGTTCCCATGTATAGTTTCATGTTCCAATCTGACCTAGAAATTCAAAATTAGGTAAAGAAAAAAAACAAGATGGGTGGAGGTGTTGAA